AAGAATATCCCTTCAAAAACTGCCTACGGGTAGATTTCTGTGAATACTGCGGAGATGGGTGGATGTGTCTGTGGACCTAGTATCGTACGGTAGGAAAGATTCAGAACTCAAAGACATGGGCCTAATCACTAATGTAATAATGTTAGGCAACTCTCTCATTTTTCCAATGAAAGTCATCTCTAAGATTCTTTGAATCCAGTCTTAACTGGTTGCACTAATCCCCCCCGTGTCCTGTATAGGTCCCTAACTTTAATTGTCTATTCATTTATTTATTCAATATACATTTTTTTACCTTTTTAAATTGAACTACTGTCAGTTTACAATGTTGTGTCAATATGCATTTACTGAACACATATTACATGCTGTTAAGGCACTGTGCTTATTTCGAGGATTTAAAGCTGTAATGAAGCACTATCTCAACCCTTAAATAACTCACAATCTAGCAAAGAGACACTCAGGGTAACCAACTACTGAGATGCAATGTGCTGTGACACAAATAAGCACAAAGAATTGTAGGCTGCTATGTTGGCAGAAGTAGGAATTCCAGAAGGGACTGATGGAAAAAATGCATCCTGAAACTGATTCTCTTTTTCCCAGCAGTAGTGTGGGTTCTCCTTGCTAGGTCTTCACTGAGGCATCATTATGTCTAGTTCTTAAGAAAAGTTTTGCTTCAGGATCGACCCACTCTTTCTAGCTTTGCCCTTGTGCTTCCATACTTTCTGGAACGTCGCTGATTGTAGAGAAACCAAGCTGTTTAACTCCTACACACCAGCCTGCAAGTGAGTTCTTGTGTTACACTGCCCACAGCTGTTGTCTAGTGGAAGGCTGATTGAGGTCAGGTATTGGATTATTTGGAGAAACGATTGAATTTCTTTGATGACAAAACGCTAGGAATCATATCTCTGTGGAAGAAAGAATTGGGGTGAGGGGAGTCCAAGCCAATTCCTTCGGAATCTGAATTTGTTCTATCTAACATCTAAGATGCAGGCTACACGTTATTTAGATCTGTCTTCCATGGAAACTTGGACTCAAAACACAAGGCATTATTCTTTTGGGTTGTTTGGTTGGTTGGTTAATTGAAGAGAGGACAGTTATGAGATACAGTATGGCAGGTTCCCAAGCAAGAAAAACATAAATAAATTAAACCTTATTTTTAAAATCATGGACTATACATTGTCTTTAATAGTCGCAACTATTTAGAGGGAAGGTATAGCTCAGTGGTAGGGTGTGTGCTTAGCATGCATGAGGTTCTGGGTTCAATCCCCAGTACCTCCATTAAAAATAAATAAAATAAACCTAATTACCTCTCCCCCATAAATTTTGTTAAAAATACTCACAACTATTTATAAACATTATTCAGTTATCATTTAGTTTATGTATTTTATAAAGAGCACAGAGGTAGACAACACAGAGAAAACCTGACATTCAGACATGGATTCTACAAAATACATGTAAACTGTAAGATACTGCTACAGAAATAGATTTTGTCAGGTGGGAGTTACTGAGATGGAGTGAATTTCTGGATTAGTCTGGATGAATTAAAGATGATTCCTTAAAGAGAGTCTGGCTCAGAGTTCAAAGTAAGGTGAAACAGTAGTCTCATTTAAAATAATAATATTTTTTAAATTCTCATTATTTTGAAAATGAGTAATATGAATATTAAAATTGTGATGAGAAAACATATACACTATGTTAACATTCATTCTGTTCTAGTTTTCAATATGTTTATCTTGGCAACTCAATGTGCATGATTTTTTTCAATACTCTAAACACGAGAACCCAGCCCATCACTCCTGCACCGCCGGCTGATTTGCTCATGATTATCCTCCAGCATCGTTATCCTTGTCCGCTGCCAGCTCATGCCTGAGTGCAGTTACCGGCTTCCACAAAGTGCCTCCAGGGCCTGACCTTTTACATAGTTAAGATTTAATGTGATATTTCTGTGCTCACATCATGTCTATAGTCTGAGATAGAACAAATTTAAAAGCATCAATGGTGCAGAGGCCTCTGAACCCGCGGAACAAATTAACCTAAATGGAAGCTGATTAAGGAGAATGAGCTTGCCTCCTCTTCTGTTTCAGGTGAAACGGATTTCTGAAGATCCTCCCTGCAAATGCCCGAGCAAGTTCTGTGTGGAGAGGCTCTCTCAGGGAAGGTACCGCGTCGGGGAGAAGATCCTCTTCATTAGGGTAAAGTCTTCCTTTCCACTGGGCAGCTTGTGCTTTCTGAGCACAGACAGGACTGAGTGGGGTGCTCCAGGGAAAATGTGGCCAGTCACTAAGCAGGCATCTCCCTTACGGTGCTTGCAGTTGGCTTTGAAGACATGAGGTATGAACATTTTTTATTATCATACATAATTACTACCGAAGGCTAAACAGAGAGAACTTTATCTTTTTCCGTACACACAAACATTCACACCAAATAGATCATAGAAAGCAAGTAGAATAAGGAAGAGAAGAGAAAACGAATTCCTTTTTTGTTTATACATTTAGTTTCACCTGACGACTGCCAATTTTTACTAGTTTTCTGGGTTAGAATAAAGAGACACGGTCCTGTGCCAGTGAATGACTTGGTGGTCTCCATCCGTTTCACAGTCATCCTAATTAAAACTCGGACGAGATATCGTGAACAAATTTAGGCTGTAATTAGTGGCTCAGTAAAGTCGTATTTCAGGCCTTTCCCCTCTGTTTTGTGAATAATCAAGAGAGTTTGACCTCTCAAAACAAGTTTGTGGCTTTTCCTAAGACCAAGAATTCTTTTCAAAAATAAGTGAAAAACAAAGCACTGACATCCTCCTAGAAATCTATAAATGCTAAGCATTTTTCTGTCTTATTTTTAGTCATTTCCTAAAGAACGGAGGTTTTGAGTCAGAGGAGCTGTATTCTGTTCTTATTTAAATAAGTTAAAGTATTTGCTTGTTTGATTTTGTAGAGCTGAACAAGTCAGATGTGTACATCTAGCACAATGAACATTCTTAACATACTCAAATCAGTGATGGCCCAGTAGACATTCTGTCCAGTGTAGAGTTATTTTTAATTTCAACTTTTGACTGAAATTTTTTGTACTACTGTTTTAAAGGCTCTACCACATGTAATTTAAAGAAAAGTTTAATCATAATCACCCTTCAAAAATAATGTCAATAACTTTGTATTTTAATCTAGTTTTAAGTCAATGTTTATTGATTAAAAAACAAATGTCCAGGTAATAATTGCTATCTTGCTTTGGAATGGCAATGAGAGAGAGAGAATGACGTATTCGTTTTAGGGGTTTGAGAACAAATCTAGAAGAATGGCCTCACTGGAGTAGCCAGTTGCCCCAGTCATCCCTTATTGTTCCTTATTACAAGAATAATAAGCACATTTATTTTAGCCAAACTGCCTGCTTTCACTTTAACACATTAAAAAGTAGTGATTTAGCACGACCTCCACAGATGTGTTTAACTTTTACCAGGTTGACCTTTCTCAGTTGAAACTCAGGCTTCTTGAAGATTCAGCCCTCGAGCCTGGAATCAAAGCATAGGATTTGATTTATTTAAACAATCATTCATTCATTTTTATAGTAACAGTGTTGATAAAACTCATGATTAATAAATTAGATGCTTTCCCCTCTGACGTAACCTATCTTTGGGCAAAAATATATATTGCATATATTTGTTTGTATCTGGTCTTCCATGTTTAGTCAATTGTCAAAGAATTTGATGTCTATGTGAATAACATTTATTATATCATATTTAACAGGTAAGATATTTTTGATATTCCATTTTTCTTTTCAGACAATGGTTTTCTTTTGGTGAAATCTATGAATGTATTGTTTACAGAGGAACTGAGACTTACTTTGTTGAGAAAAATGCATCAAATTCCTTAGTGATAGCATTTGAATTTAATGTCAGTTACCACAGCAGAAAATAATGTGCTGTTTCTTGCTTCTAATGTTCCAGGTAAGCTTGCAGTAGGAGAGCTAACTGTCATGTGGTTATTGACTGACTGGCTGAGCAAGTTACAGTGTCATGTGGCTGTGACAGATATTTTAAAATAGGGTTTTAATGAACTTTAGTCATTCACTTTTTCTCATTTTGCACCATCCACATATAATTTGTACTGTATTTTACAATAGGTTTCACTTTAAAACTAGCCCTTTTTTTCAAATCCCAATTTTTTAAAAAGAAACTTTCTATTTACTGCTTAAATTGCAAATGAAAAGTATTTGTCAAAAAAAAAGGGGGAAATGCTCATTAACACGTATTCATTGAAATTCTTACCTTTCGATTTGCCAGCAGTTCATTCCCACCCTGATGGAGTAAAGGGAGTCTACAAAAATTTGTTTTCTTGTATCTGGTTATCCCTGGAAACTTTTTACCTCTCATCCCCGATAGTTCAGGAATTGAAATTTCACAGGCGGGCCATAGACACCCATCAGCGCACATTTTCTCCCCTTTTCCTTCTCTGTACTGAATGGATGAACTGGAAATGTCTCGCTGATGTGTGAACACTTTGGCGAGTACTTTTTGATTTGTGGCAGGGACTACTTTTTTGATTGTCATTCTGTACTAACTCATTGTAAGGAACTGGCAGGTGTTACTCACAAAAGAGGTATTGATTTTCAAATGATCAAACTTAAAGATCCTTTAAGTTTCTCTAAACACCTGAATTAAGTAGAAAAAGCCTTTGGTCAAATTTTCAGACACACTAGGGGCATGATCGCTCCACAGTGTCTGTGTTGCTGTGCTGGGTTTCTGAAGTCTGTAATTTTCACATTGGCGTATTTTAAACTTTGTCCTCTTTTTGGAGGCTGCCAAATATGGTCATATTTATTACATAATATATAATAAGGGATGCATTTATGCATGTTATTTTATAAAATGTACAGGCAATGAAATATATGTGGTATCTTAGCATTTATCCCCTAGTTTTCTGTCCATCCTGAGAGCAGCCATGTCTGCATATGGCCATAATGAACCAGTCTGTGCAAAAAACAATTTAGGATCTTTTCAGGCTGTTAAGACTGTTGACTTACTTTTACTTAAAGAGAGAACAATCACCAAAACACTGACATAGAAGACACTATTCCTTGGAAAGTCATAAATACGTGATCCTCTTAATAAATTTGTATCTAACACGTTTACTCCCCATTTACTCTTCTCAGCATAAGCCAGAGTTCATGATTTTAGGGCTAACCAAATTCCCAGGTTTGTTGACAACACCCAGTCGCTTACTTATGTATGGCTTTATGATTACTGTGTATTTGAACACATCTTCTCTTTGTGCAGTCAATGCAATGCAATAACAACAAACAAGAACAACAACAAAAATGAATGTATGCAGATTACAGAGAAAGCCCAGAAGACATTTTCTGCAGAGGTTATCTTTGCTAAGCATATGTGTTATCTGCGGGTTTTTAAGGGACCAATGGATGAACATATACTTTGCATACATGGCCATCCAATGCCTTCATATGTAGATGCATCTATACGCTTCCACGGGCATGTTTGTTTACATAAGTCTCCATTTAAAGCCAAGGGAGTAATCTCTACCCAAATATAAAGAATCCTTGAGTACAAGGGAAAACCTCTGAAGTTTTTGACTGTGGCTTTTAGGCAAACATGTTAATGATCCTCTGCCGAAGTGGGAATTATCCTGTTTTTTTTGCTTATCATAAACAGTTTCTCAAAGCCAGATTTTTGCCCTACACCTTTCAATGTGCAGCATTGTTTTTGAACCATCTGGTGGACAAGCAAAGCTAAGTACGGCTAGTTTGTATCTGTGTAGTGTAGATCCAAAGCTAGTCTCCTCCAAGGTTTAAATATATCAATTATTTTTCACTGAGTTTTGAGTGATGATAAAACCTCCTTGCTAATTTCTGTGGTCGTGGAGCTTCGGATGTTACCATTTAGCCATGCTATCTATCTTTGAAATGTAAATAGATCTCAGGCGTAATGTTATGATTTTGAGGAGGAGAGAAGTAAGAATTTGCCTTTGTTCTCTTGTTTATTCGGCTAGTTGGTATCCACCCAGGTTTCAAGTATCAAGAAGTCCATTGGCAATATAAGGCTGTAAAAGCTGGTACGAAGGATTTTAGACATTTATCTTAGATGTCATAAAAATGTCTATAGTATTCTATTTGTCAACCCCAATTCAGCAATGATATTATTCTGTTAATAATCTGATGGTAATTTTTAAAAGTGATCCCCAGATAAGCAGCCTCGGCATCTCTTGGGAACTTGTTAGAAATGCAGATTCTTGGGACCCACCCCAGACCGACTGAATCAGAAGCGTTGAGGGTGGGGCCCGGACACCTGTGCTTTAACAAGCCTTCCAGGTGATTCTGGTGGAGACTAAAGTTTAAAACCACTAACCTAAAAGGAAGGAAGAATCATATGACGGAAGAGATTTGTTTATAACAACACAGTTAGAAATCATTTGTAGGTGTCATCATGGAAGAATATAACCTTTCAGGTACTAGAATGATCATTTTGAAGACTTCGTTATATTGTTGTGAGGAAATACTGAATATGTAATGTTAACTGGAAAAAAAACTCAGGCTGGAAATGTATTTACATATAAAAATACCTCTGTGCAGAAATGATATAGGACCAAGAATAACTGAAAAGAGTTTTTAATTTTCAGAGGGCATTAAATTATGGGTGAATGATTTTTTTTTCTGTTCTGCATTTATTTCCAATGACGACATTAAAAAATATGAACTCTTTAAAAGAAGAGAGAAGTCAGCAACTTAATACAGTTGCAAATGTAAGAATAAGTAAAAGGACTTCTAAAAGGTGTCAGATTAAATAGCTGACGGCTCATTTTTCGGCCCTATGCCTAAGCTTCTGACCTGCGAAAGGACATGGAGGCTTATTGGAACCGTGGTGTTATTTAGACCAGGGAGGACTCCGCATTTTGTCTGGAACTTGTGGCTTATTTTTCCTTGGATGAAGCGCTCACTTTGCCTTGTCTTCCTTTACTATTTTGTTTCTCCTTTTCGAAAACTCATTCAAACTGTGTTTGGTTAGCACTAGGACACAGGTAACCACCTTAATATTGTCCTTTCTCTTTGCTGACCCCATCAGTGAATCGTATGCTCAGTTTTCTCTCTCTTGGTCTCAAAAGCTTTGATCGTTTATTATCCCTTCCCTTTAAGGCTCACTTGTTAGTGACATGCAAATGATCTAATATGATAAACCGATCTGTGC